GATATAAAATAGTACATATTATGATGAATTACACTTGGTGATTGATTGTGAAATAAATAGCAAAATAAGGCACAGAAATATATTCTAAATGAATGATTATGCTTAAATGACTAAGATAGGATTATATGCTAAGACCGTTGAATTCGGGGAATCAACGAAGCGTAACTCGCCAGAATAGAGAAAAATTTTCAATAGCAGATTTAACACAAAAGAAAGAAAAAAGTTCTGTTCAAAATTAGGAAATATCAAAATAATTGAAAAACAAAAAGAACTTGATTATGTGTGAAAAAATAGTCTTGACAGGTAGAACGACAATGGATTAACGACCAAATTTTAATACTTGGTGATGAAATATGACAATGACCTCAAAGCCATAGAAATATGACAATGACCTCAAAGCCATAGTGTTTGGGGCCCAAAATTGGATAGATAGTTGCCTCACTATTATTATGGTAGTGGCTCCCAACCAGGGGGGCCCTGTCCCACCAAGAGGGCCACAGAGCATTTGGACAGGGCCACAATGTTAGGCACAATAGAAAACTCCCCTTTCTTCCTAGTTTCATTGCTTGATAAGGTTATTTCACAGGGTGTTTTCACTTTATTGAGCATGAATTGTTTGAACATAATGGGATTTGGAATCTACCAATCAAAATGACACTTTAAATACCACTGGAATGATAAACAGGGGCCTTGAGTGCTAAAAGCCTCCAGAGCGGGGCCACGACTCATAAAGGGTTGGGAACCACTGCACTGGCGGTTAGAGTGTTGGATTCGGCTTTAGTAAATGCCAATTGTGGCGACTTTAAACAGCCCAAGTCAATACGATTAGAGACATTCGGTTAACAGTTAACACACAGTATCAGACACATAATATTAATATCAGAGGACGTAACAAATTGAATAAAAAAATGGAACTAAGGCACAATTACTTAGGAAGATATAAACAAAATAATAATACCCTTTAATAATTGACGATACAAAATGATTTTGTACAAAAAATAGAATTGTGTAAGATCAAACTATCAAATCTCATGCCAACTACCTTACCCAGGAGGTAATCAATTGCTACAGGGGTGGTGACTCCTCTACGACCCATGGGCCGGGGCCACAGCCCATCTAATTGGGCCACATGGGCCGTGGCCCATCAAGCTATGGGCCGCGGCCCCGTCAGGAAAAATTCAATTATCTTACCAAAACTTTCAATTTTTACAAAATTGTCAATATTCGAACCAAAAAATAAACTCCTGTAGTATGTGTACCAGGTTAGGGTTAGGTTAGGGTTGTTCAGATTTTTTACATTATAGTTCTATTATGAGTATGGGGACTGTCTGTGTTAGCCAAGTGAATAGTTTCTTTACACAACTTGATGGGCCGCGGCCCATAGCCTGATGGGCCGTGGCCCCGGCCCATGGGCCGAAGAGAAGTCACCACTCCCACTCATCAATTGAGTAGGCAATGCTTAACCAGAAAGATTATTCCACATAAAAGCAGCCCCCGCATTTCGTGAGATATTGGTAGCTGCTCTCATGGGGTCTCGTTCAGAGCAAAAAAGACGAATTAATGGCATATACAGGGTGGCCCAAAAGTAGGTATACAGGTATTTATTTTTCATTACATTCCAAGCAGCTAGAAAACTAAAGTAAAATTCACACTAGATTTATTATCTAAAAAAATGAGCAATTTTTGTGGTACTTAACAAGTAACATAAAGTGAACTGCAAGTAGCTTCAAAGCATATAAAATTGGGTGCTCCCGAAGTATGCGAACCAAGATGGCGGACATCGGAACGTAACACGGGTAACAGGTTAGGCGATAATTTTTTTTCCAATTTTCCTTATTTTAGTCCTATTATCAGTTCGAAGACTAGCCAAGAGCCTCCCGTAGTATTTATACCTAAAATTATGGCCGAACCCTAACCTAGTACACATATTACATTCCGATGTCCGCCATCTTGGTTCGCATACTTCGGGAGCCCCTAAAATAGTTTAATAACTGTATACCTACTTTTGGGCCACCCTGTATATAAAAGATGGCACTCGTGGGAATATGCAACCCGATTTATCACACCTATTAAGATGGTCAAAAGGGAATGTAAAACAATTAGGCTTTAATTGACAAGTAGTGTTTTCTCTGAACAAAATAAGCTGGTATTAAAATAGAGATCATATGTTTTATTTCCATTATAGTTCTGGAATCACCTGACAGTTAAAAATCGAGATCTTAACCGTCCGACCGGTTAGGTACGCTTCGAGTTTTTCTAGGTCATTTTTTACACATGTAGGGGCCAATAAAATATATATGGTATCAATAAATTATCTTGCAAGTCAAAAAAATACATCAAAACATTCATGAATACCCTGTATTATCGAATATGCCAGAGAAAACACGCTATTAGGACTAGCTTATTTTCTTAGCTAGAATGTCTGAAATCGTAATTTAAACATAAACGTCCTCCCAATACAAACAATGATGAAAACGCCTACGCTAACGGTAGCTTGTTTCTATGTCATATGTAAACATTAAGGTCTGGCCTACTTCTGTAATCAATGGAGTGATTGTTGGACCGAATCAACTAGCTTAAGCACAGAGGGTGAAAATTCTGACAAGTCATGCCTCATTGACTGATTATTATATGAGATTTGGGGCAGAATGAAACAAATTGAAACAGGGAATGAAAATTCTGACAAGTCATGCCTCATTGACTGTCTATTTTTAATACCTCTGTAATCAATGGAGTATGATTTTGGGCAGAATAAACCAAATTTAAACAGGAAATAAAAATTCTGACAAGTCATGCCTCATTGACCATTCCTGCAATCAATGGAGTACAATATTACGCAGAATCCACGAACTTATACCAGAGAAAAAATTATTCGGTCAAGTCATGCGTCATTGACTTTTCATATGAATACTTCTGCATTATGCAGAATCAACTGAGCACAGAGGATAAAAATAAGGAAATTCTGCTAAGTTATGCATCATTGACTTTTCATATATGGATGTTTTTGTAAATAATGAAATGGAAAAGAATATTCTGGTGTTTTAGAATCTTATTTTGCCAATTTGCCATTTTTTTTCAGTTCAAATCTAGTAAATGGGCCTACGTAGGAACAAAATCATTACGGTAATTTGCGAAGTATGGTAGACTTCAATTAATTTCTGAAAAACTAAAAACCGAAAAATCAAATCATTTTTTATCTTAACTTTACCCCATTCCCAAATTCATATTCATAAAATATAAATTAATTTTCAAACATTATTCTTTGTTGAATATAACCTAATTCAGACTACAGATTTAATATTACATATTCAAAAATTTCATTCCAGAATGCATTCTAAATATTACTTTATTCATTTTTGCCTATCAGTAACGAAACATTCATAAATATGGTTAAAAAAAGCCCAAAATATGAGTTAACTCCGGTATATTTCTCTAGCTGGGCTCAGCTGTAACAGCCACTGCCTGGAGGCACAAAATATTTGCATCGCTACTGAGAGATATTTTCTTCAATGAACGTAATTTGAGGTGAAATGACGTAACCAGATATGATGGTATTAAATATACATCTTGACCTAGGCTACGTGCATTAGGAACTCAGTAAGAATAAAACTCCTAGATTCTTTGTTACTTCTATGAAAATGAAGAAAATTTATTTAACACTTGAACCTCTGTTTGTATATGATAAGTAATCTAGGAGACTCTGCACAAAAGTTAGTAGGTACGCAGTAGTTATTAGCAAACCCTTACCAATTCATCTTCGATCATGTTCAATTTTGATGTTGAGTTACAGTAATCATGAACATAGGGGCTAATAAACTATGTATGATATCAATAAATTCACCACACAATTAAAAAAATTCTAGGACTTAATAAGCACCCTGTCCGATTATCAAAATTATAAACAGGGTATCCAAAAAACACAAAACCCAGGTCTATTGGAACGTATTCAAGAGAGAGGACATAAATTTCGTACAAAGCGTCATAGATTACTTAAACTTTTGGGTGCAATCAGAATACACGAACAGAAGTTCAAGCGTTAAATAAATTCTCTTTATTTTCACAAAGTAATTAGAGAAGTTTTTTGGGGCAGACTGTAGCATTAATGATGGCTAGGGCTTTACTCAAAGTGAATGCACGAAACAAAAGTAATATCCTAGTTATACTGATATTATAGAACATATGAACTCATTACCCTACTAATACAGGAAGTGGTAATAAAAATGTCATTTCAAGCTCTGAATTTATTATGACGTAATTGTAACAAGCCACAGTTACTTCCTGTCCTTCCTACGCCATCTCACGCTTCTAACAGATAAAAATAAATTGAATTCCAGCAGGGTTGTCCTAGGATTTTGATTTACTAAAGATTTTAAAATTGAATTGATCATTTCAGTCCTGGGGGATTTGTTATATTGGATATTTGAAATTTTAGGCAAAATTTAAAATAGTTACATTTGCAAAACTGAGCATTATCAAGTTTACAGTTTGACTAAAAAGCCATCCATTATATGATATTGTTTTCCTGCGTCATTTGTTAGCAATTGAGATATTGATTGTTTTGATCTACTTGTCTAACTAGTCTAAATCCTTAATTTTTAAATAAAATCGTTCGAATTATTCCTGAATTCGAAAATTTACTATATCGAATAAAATGAATTGGAAATCCCATTAGCAAAATTGTCATTTTGTGTAGCATTTGAGTCTTACAATATGACTGAAAGCTCTCATTTAATTTTGAAAAAAACTGTATAAAATAGAAAACCGATTCAAATCCTTGTTTATCTCAACTGGACTTATAATAATATTGAATATCAGTAGAGTCATGCTGAGATTGTGAATGTCATACAATATGTAAAGTAAATAATTAGAATAAGGGGGCTCCCGAAGTATGCGAACCAAGATGGCGGACATCGGAATGTAATATGTGTAATAGGTTAGGGTTAGGCCATAATTTTAGGTATAAATACTACGGGAGGCTCTTGGCTAGTCTTCAAACTGATAATAGGACTGAAATGAGGAAAATTGGAAAAAAATTGTCGCCTAACCCTAACCTGTTACCCATGTTACGTTCCGATGTCCGCCATCTTGGTTCGCATACTTCGGGAGCACCAGAATAAGGAAGTCCCTATCCAAGATATTTCAGAATCACACCTCATATTTTATTTCCACATTCAATTTGAGTGTCGAGACAAGAAGGCAAATGTTCAAACTTTGAAAAATTCTATTTGATAAGGAATAAGAGATCTAAATATACAGCTCTGGGGGAAAGGGATGACCAAAGCTGGCTTTTAAGCTGGAGCTAGGCAACAATAACCATAATATTATAAATTTTAATTTCCCATTTCTGGTATCAACATAAAATATTACCTGCCCTTGCATAAATGTCATACAGGGTGTCCCAAAATAAATGAACCCCAAATAAATTGGTGATAGAATTAATGAATTTCATTTAGTTTTGGACACCCTGTACTTCGTCTACGGTCGTTCAAAAAAGGAATTTTTTGAATTATACCAATCGAATTATTTCAATTTTTTCTTATACAACGTTTTATACATCTTTCACTCCGGATTAGGATCTGAACCATACATTGCTAAGAGAGAAGCCACTATCATTTAGATGGAACAGAATTTACCATTTGACAGTTTCCACCTGGATAAGGTGTCACACATGGGGCTCCAACCCAAAATTACTAACTCGCAATGTCAATCAGATTGTTTTGCTGCAAGCCTAGTTATTTTGATAAATCTACCATATTTATAAGCCTTGATGTTAAAGTCGCAGAAAGATCACATATTTGCTGTATTTAAAGAAGATAACTTGGGTTTGGTTCTCTTCTGGCTTACGTTCAATTCCGGATAGCATAATCCCTAATAAAATCATTCAGGCATGACTAGTCAGAATAATCTTACCCTACTGAAGAGTTGTTTGTGCTGCTATATCTTTCTATCTCAATTTTCAGGTTAGACGAGGCCGAATGGTAAATTCCGAGTAAGAAAAGGCCTTGTAAAATCATAGAGGTGTGACTAGTCAGAATAATCTCACCCTAATGTAAAGGTGTTTATGCTGCTATTTCTCACTTTAGGTTACCACAACTTTACTAGAAACATTAAATTTCAAAGACGTTGTGATATGAACATTTTTCTAAGTTTGGTGAGCTAAGTGTTATGAAGAACAAAGTTTTGCTCTTTTTTCTAAATTTGCAATTATAAATAAAATAAATAGGGTATTTCCCCTCCTTGGTAATAATGAATTAAGGCTATAAACATAAATAAGAGTACATGATCCGAAAAAAAAATAACAAAAGTCAAACCTGGCTATGCTGTTTGGTCAATGTAGAGGGCGTCACTTTAACACTGGGTGTCTCCACCTGTCTTTTTGGGGAGGGGGCAGGATGTGGGCATAGTTTCAAAAGTTCATTTACTGTCGTGCCAACTTTTCCAATATTTTTTTCCAAAAGAATATCTTGCGCGGAACATATGTGGATCTTTGGAACGCCAACTTTAGCGCAAGCGTCTAGAAAATTGTCTATATTTCTTCTTCTTTTCGCCAAAGTGAGTTTCGGGACGGCGGGAGACGGAACATGTATGCTGGTTATTGATCTTGGTCGTGCATGATTGGTTAGATGACATAAAACGACGCCGTCGGATAAAGATGATGGAAGATCATCGCCAAGGCTGATTTTGAGTCTAGCTTCAATATTTTGTCGCAAAGTTTCGATCATTTCGAGCTCTTCGTAAAGTTTTTCTGTTTTCCGACGCATCGTAAATGAAACATCTTTTTCTGCTCCTGTATTGAATGAATTTCCTCTCATCCTGTTTAATGCTGTCCTGGGTTTTATCGATGACGGCAAAAATCCTTTTTTTGAATTCACTGTTTTGTTATTGGCTACTTGATTGTTACGGTCTGTTGGGCTCAACGCTTGTCGATTTTTCACGAATTCTTGTAATTTTTGTTGCGTCGCAGGAGTTTTACCGTTCGCAGAAGGCATATCTGTTTTTTCATTAATAATGTTCGGTTTGTATCCTGGAAAGCCAGATAATTTTTGATGAATTAATAACGCTTCAGTTGAACTCTTTCTCTCAAAATTACCGCTACTCGCACTACGTTTCCTTTCTTTTGCAATAACGTTTTTCGGTAAAGTATGATTCGGTTTTGTATCTTGTGAGGGAGGTGATACGGGAATATTTTCAGCAGATTTTTGTTTTCTCGGCCCTGGTTTGTCGACACGTTTTTTCGGACTTGGACGCTTCTTCTCAGGACTGGTTGCATTGGTAACACTCGCTTTTCTGCGATCTTTAGACAATTCTGCAGCTTTTTCGACAGACCTCTCTTCTCTTCCATTGTCTTCTTCAGTGATGGACATCACCCTTGCTTTCATTTCCAGCAAGTTAACGTCAGCGCGAGGAATCGATGGACGTTTCATCGGACTCATGAGAGGATCATCCATCACATCTTTCTTAATCTGCGCTTTTTCTGCTTGAATTTCCAGTTCCCGCAGCATATGAACTCTGCCTTTCATTAAAACTGGGATTGGAGGTGACGTAAGAGGGTTATGATCCAACACAAATTTTTGCAGTGTTACCATATTCCGAAACGACATTGGAATCGATGTTATTAAATTACAACCGGCATCTAAGTGTGTTATTTTCATTGTAGATATTTCTTCCGGTAGCGCAAAAATACTGTTTTTACGTATATTCAAACATAGTAAATTCTCCATTTTTGCTATCTCAGAAGGTATCGAAGTTAGCTCATTAGAACTGACGTCAAGTTCTTGGCATTTTTTCAAACTTCCGATTTCTTCCGGTAGAGAAATTAACTTATTGCAACTCAATCGTATTATTGTTAAACCTCTTATTTCGCATAGTTGTGTCGGAAGCACAGTCAAACAATTATTACTTAAATCAAGTTTTTCAAGAAGTCTTAATTCCCGAATATCCTCAGAAATAGTTTTTATTGAATTGTTCGTTATTGTTAGAGCATCAACACACTGCCATTCAAATATATCCAATGGAACCTCGGACAGCCGATTGTGAGATAAATCTACGTTCGTGACATTCGCTAAATCATATTTCATCACTAATTGACCGATGTCTTTCAGCCTTCGATGCATCAAACGAACTCCTCCGGAGAACTCCGCCTCTTCTAGGAGCTTGTCGAGACTCCGAGTGTTCGGAGGATTGGACGACAGTGACTTCATGGTGATAATAGGCATTTGGAGGTGCAAGGAGTCTAAAAACTATGTCATGATTGTTTTGAATAGCAGCTTTGTAGAATTTCTAATATAAATTATAACATTCTTAAATAATAATTTCTATCTGAGAGAAGTTAATAACATGGTAACTTGTGCATTTACTAAGCGTGGGCTATCCAGCATTTTATAGGACTATCCTACATAGAGTGCCAATGACCATGACTTACAGACACGGTGCCCCTAGTTAATATTCTAATTGGCAATCGGATGGACCCAGAAACTCTGAACTTACATCTGTACATAAAGCTTGGCTATTCGGGCTATGTAACAATTTATATTTCTCTAAAAATTTTTTTTATACACATTTACTTTTCTGCATCCTAACTTGAATAAATATCGTGAATGTATTACAACAAACTGACAAAGTAAAAACAACAAATGAAAGCGGGGAATCTTGGTAAGGATGAGATTTCTATATTGAACACCAGGCGAGGAAAGTGGACGTCCATTGCAACGACTTGAACGCTTAAAAACACTTGAATTTAAAAGTTTCTTATGTTCCTAAGTCCTAAATTGCTGCTATATTTGCGGTACTGTACTGTCTCACAACTGTTTCTTAGGCTAGTAAAGTCTAGAACACGTATCCTGTCTCTGTTATACTGTTTGTTAATTTAACAGTTAATACAGTTTGTTAATTAAATTTTGAGGCAAATAAGTACCAAGCAACACTTTTATCTCGAATATCAGAATATATAAAACGCATAACAAGATGATAGTATAATTGATAGCAAACAAAATACTGAACTAAAAAAAAAACGATCACAGAATCGAGATAGCAAACAAAACCCTAAGTCAAATTCAAAGTGTACATGTGTTGCCAAGAGCCAGTTGAAAGAGCCACGTGCAAATAAGAATTCCTGGCGTGCAATTATAGCTCACGGCGTGCAAAACAACTGCGCCCGCGTGCAACTGACTTTGACATTAGATACCTTTCAATACATCCGCGTAAAATTACGGGTATCGGATAAAAAATACGTTGAATGAGAGCAAAAATGGATGATTGACCTTTGACCCCAAACATTATTTCTACAGTTTGTCGCTAATTTTGAGAGTGTTTGTGCGACTTTGGATACCGGTACTGTTCAGTACATCCGCGTAATAATATTGTATGGAAAATACGTTGACCCAAAGCAAAATGGACATACTTTGTCATTAATTTTGGGAGTGTTCTTACGTAGAATTAATAGATAAAAAATATGTCAAATTAGAGCAAAACGGTCGTTTGACCTTTAACCCCAAAAATTATTTTTATACTTCGTCACTAATTTTGAGAGTGTTTGTGCGACTTTAGATACCGGTAATGTTCAGTACATTCGTGTAAAATTATTGTATGAAAAATACGCTGAATCAAAGTCGTACTTGGCCAGCGTTGGTGCGAAGGCGATCTTTTCATCCATAACTATTCTCCCGGGATTCCTATCATTCAACACGATATGGCCTTTTTTGCTTCGCAATTTTTCGATTAGACAAAATCTTGCAAGCTAGTATTAGTCGACAATTGTGGAGTTATAATATTTCGGCATCTTTATATTACTGGATTATTGATTTTAAAACCATTTAAACCGATTTACATTGGTGAGCAATTGCAATTTTTCAGCGTGCAAAATTGAATTCGCTCCCGTGCACCTGCCATGGAATCCAGTCTGGGCCAAGAGAACTAATACCGGTACCGTACCCAATCGGCAATCGCTCACCAAAAAATTAAATTAATTTTCTCTGATCTGATTACAGGATTATATTTTAAATGCGAAAAAACTTGATACCAGAAAGCATGATTAAATAGGGTTCCAATGATAAAATAGCCTGCCAGGCAAATAGCTTACTCATAAAATTGACAGTATAAGTTGAGGGTATTTGAAACGTTATATTCTGATACTGACACTCGGTCATTCGTCAACTCATCTAAATTATTATTCATTAAATATTACGGTACCCATACACAAATTCCATATGCACAATTATGGTACCGTACTTTCATATGCAATACAAGTATTGTAGCCCATCTAATCCCCAGTTTAGGTAATTCAGTAACAGCCCAAACGCTTTTTTCAAACCCTAACCCGCCCGACCCCAAGCCCTCAAGCGCTCGACAGACCAGCCATAGCCATAGCCAACGCAGAAGATGAGATAAGACGGAGAAATTTGCGTGAAAACACGATGCAATACCGGTATACTACGTTGTGAAGGACTCAAAATAATTGAGGTAAAAACCTGCAAATACCGGTATGTTCAATAAATATTTACTTTTTCATTTTTTTAAACATCCATATATTGTTTATTGATGGCATTTTTAAATAAATGTTGAATTTAGATGTTTGGATGGAGTCAAAATGAACTTATACTTTTCATACTTATACGCCCTTTAGTATATTTCATTGAACTCATCCTGATTTCATTTCCTCGTCGCTGATCTGTCACAAAGTGGCTAAAACACTTTTATAGTCACTTTGATCTGTCATGGCTCACTAGTGCTGCCAGCGGATGAGCTACATTTAATCTGGAAACCCCAGGCGACGTCATTTAAAAACTACTACAACACACAGAACGCAAGCCAATTTTTGTCATTAAATTGAAGAATAATTAATATTAAATGTCAACCTTTCTTCGTTTATAACTTTGTTTAAAAACAGTGGTTCCCAACTCGGGGCCCCTTTCCAGAGGCTTTTAGCGCTCATGACCCCTCTATTTACCATTCCAGTGGTGTTCACAGTGTTATTTTGATTGGTAGTCTCCGAATCCAATTATGTTCAAACAATTCATGCTCAAAAGGTGAAAACACCATGTGAAATAACCTTGTCAAACAATGAAACTGGGAGTTTTTTAGTGAAAGAAAAAAGTAATATCAGTTATGCTCCTGGTTTTGGGAACCCTTCTAGCTGCCCTGACGCATTCAAATCATTTTTTCTTGAACAACCTTTACCGATTCGAAAACTCAAGACCTTGTAGGATTCAACCTACCTTGCCTAATAGTAAATACTACCTTTAGGTATACACACCTGTGGCGATATTTACATTCTCATTGGGGGAGGGAAAGTTAATAAGACGGCTTAATCATATGGCGAACCACAGTCTCTCATTCCGTTGCTAGTCCACGTTGAGCATGGAATAAGTTGGCCAGGTAATTGTTTTCAAATGCATGTGATGCAGTAAATCAAGCCGATACACAGCATACAGCAAAAAAGTGTGAACGCATGCCATTCTAAAAACACTTAACATATACAATGACCATGCGCCAATAATTAACTAAACTCTCCTGTCTAGTGCTGTACAAACGAGGACAGAAAATACACGTTACTCCAACAGAAACCGAGACTCCAATGTATTATCGTAAACAAATTCACACAACTACAGATCACGTAATCAAGAACGCGCGCACAACAATAACAGAAGAAGACTGTATAATAATCATTACAGTACCAATCTGGCGATGTCCATAATCGTTTCATATGTTCCGAGACGATATTCAATGCAACGCTATGGCAGGTGAACATCGCCAGCGGCCTCAAGTAAGTTTAACTTGACATTGCTTGTGTGCAGACTAAGGGTAACAAACGAAAAAGTACTCTCGCCAGCCCCACTCAACTTTAAACTGCTCGTTGGCGCTCCAAAATTCCACCCTGATACCTTACTGCAACAATAAAACACAAACTTCATCATAATTCTTCATATTTCAAAAACAAACCACAAAAACAGAATGTGGAACAAAAAAGACAATTTTCTATGTACAAAATGCTACACAGTAGCATATACACAACATAACACTGAGAGATAGGATAATGAAATAGCAGAATAAAATGGTGCCAGCAGTCAATGAGAAATTGAGTCAGGTGCATTTGAAACAAAGACGACAGAAGTATTAAAGAATCCCCTTTGTAAATACTAACAATGCTACATTGAGTGACTTGAGCAGACCAGAATCATTTCGTGTATTTCATAACCCACCCAGGGCTCAGGAATTGGAACTATGGCATGTTTTACGAGAGTCACACTCCTCTGATTCGAATCATGAACTCCCTGGTGTCAGAATTCTAGACTTTGATGGCGAGAATAATTTGAATAGAGTTAAGTTCACTAAGCCTTCAGAATGACCTACAGAGGATTTGCATTTGTCAAAGTGATGATTATCAAAATTATTCACAAGTTAATAGTCCTTGATAAATCATTTCAGACTTCACAGCCCTGTACTTTCCATGAAGTAAGTACACGGGAAAGCCAGTTTGATATCAGTCAATCAAATTTAAATTTGAATAAACTATTTGATGATATTTTTTAATACCTTCTCAGGGTAACCACACAAGAATTCACCCAAAACTGAAAAGTGAAAAATAAAATTGATTGAAAAGTTACAGAGAAATTTCATCAGAAAAACCATTCTATGTGCATTACTTTCTACAAAAACAAATTTAATCTTTCCACTATTCAGAAAAATACTAAAATGGTGCAACTAAATTCCCAAGGACAAATCAAGGTCGTTACTGGGTGAAAATTAAGTCAGTGACATCAAGTGTTTTATTTTTAGCTGCCAAAGAAACTTGTTATTATACCGGGTATTCATAACGTCCTGTTAAAATTTCAATTTTGGGTGCTCCTAAATGCGCACCAAGATGTCGCATAACCTGAACCCTAACCTCAGGTTGTGCGCCATCTTGGTGCGCATACTTCAGGAGGTCCCAATTTTGTTATAGAGTCAGCTCTCAATATCCTAACCAGGTGTTTTTTATTCAAATCAGTGTTTATTCCATTTTTTACTACATTCCACACACAAGTAGGGGCCAACAATCTATATATATATGGTATCGACAAATGTCTTGACTTCATGAACACCCTGCACATTTAAAAATAATTTTTAAGCAAAACTGGTTGAGAAATATGACAAACTTTAATTAAATCATCTTACTAAGATCCGGAGAAAAAATTATTGACCTTCGAACCAGGAAATTAAACTGACAAATAAACATAAAGATAAAAATCATTCAAAATTGAAATACTTCATTTATTAATATGCTGAATTTTTTTTATAAATATTTTTTGCGAATAAATAAGTTGAAGTAGCCAGCAAGCAAGCGTAATTCATACAGAAGCATTATTTGGTATAAATGGCCAAAAGAGCAAATGGCGATCCGGTAGGCTGGACATTTTTTTGCGGAATAATCTGATGTTACATTCGAACATTACAAACTATTCTGTCGAGACTCGTTAAGCAATACATAACCTTGGCAGAATAATTTGATGTTACAGTTTGTCACAACACATCTGAATATTACAAATTATTCCGTCAAGACTTATTACGCAAAACATACCCTTGGCAGAATAATTTGATGTTACAGTTTGTCACAACACATCTGAATATTACAAATTATTCCGTCAAGATTTATTACGCAAAACATACCCTTGGCAGAATAATTTGATGTTACAGAACACTGAATTTAATTGAAAAATATTTCAAATTGTTCCGTAAAGTAAAAACATCACATGCCCCAGTATTTTATCTCCTAATTTGTGATATTTCTTACAGAAAGTGAGTGATGAGGAAGAATTTTCATCTTTCTAAGTTTTACAGAGTTAGCAATGAAATTTTAGTTACATTAAGTTTATTTTTTCCAACCAGTAAAAAAATCATACACAATTTACAAGAAAAATCCGCACTCCATTTCACTTGAGAATGAAAGACACATTGAACCAGAGATGGTTATTGAGCACTCAGGGTTCTAATATATTATTGGAAAAATTCAGGATTTTAGGAATCGTTCTAGTTAATGAATGAATGTTAATGAAAAGAATTGCCTTTTCATAGAAACTGAAATATGCTCGGATGAAAAGAGTTGATGCAAATTCTGTCCCAAAAGTTTTCAAGTCGGAATCACAATCAAGATATTAATTGACCCATAACTGAGTTTTAATTTTATATATTTCAGATATCAGTGAATCTCAAACGATGTCTTGTCCGCCTTATTTTTGGGTATTTTTATTGTTTAGAGATTGCGATTCCATTCTATTTTCAACGCGCTTTATAAATAAAACATACTTTCGCCTTACTATCTGTTATTAGTAGTTTTTCGTGAGCTACGGTAGTTATTTTTGAGGTGGGGTGAATTGTAAACAAATTCTAAAAAGGCGTTGTGGCTTGACAAGTTTGATTAATCGACCGATAACCGAGTTTTAATTATAAATATCTCACGAGCACTTTTTTAACGCAACATCCAAATCCCAAAGAGGTAAAATAATCGAGCTGCATTTAACCAGACGCACCAACACAAATACAATATTACAAGCTGATGTCACAAAAGTACTATGAAAATGAAATATAATAAAACAAAGAGAATTAAAAACAAAAAAATAAATAAAATAGGTTTATACAAATACAATCAATGCCTGGGTTACGAAATTGAATTGTATTTATTAAGGTATTCACGTGGTAGGCCCAGACAAGCAGCTAGTCATAAATTAGAGCTGCTATTACTGTAAAAAGCAGACATCCATGCATTAGAATAAATTATCTATTCAGTTTAAATTACGAGTGGGGGGGAGGGGGGGTCAGGCTTGAGGATAAATTACTAGTCGCTTCAAACAGCTTCTTGTGCAGAGAACTGTTTAGAGATGAAGATGAAAAATTTCAGCTTTTAATTTAGTTTTCACTCCAAAATATGCCTTACACAAGCTGACATTCATAGGACATCTGTGCATGAGATTTTATTCAATTAACAAAACCATAAATATTGCCTTAACAGGCGAAAAACACTCAGAGGTGACAAATACTAGCAAATGCTTCATATCAGAAATCATCTGAAAGTATCAACAATGACCCACTTTTAGACTCAAAAATAACAAAAAAAATATGAAAAATAAGACAAATTTTCGGCGAAATCAGAATTATGTATTAAATAAATAAGAGCAGTCGTGCAGAAAGGCTTCAAGGCCTGTGTTAGATTTTGCTTTCAAGTACTATACTGATAAAAGAATTGAGAGTTTGCTCAAAACATGGTCTTGATCCCTCAACTAAAAGTGGGAAGAGTATGGATAGGAAAGTTTCAAGGAACAACCCCATTTACTTCTAAACCAGTGTGGAATCTTAAAACGTTAATACATTCGAGCAGCAGATTGTAAATATCGAAGTTTTTGAAAAATGACAACTCTAAGACAGGGGTGTGCAAACTGCGGCCCACGGAGAAATAACAATTTCGAATGGTGTACCCGCAAAACGAGTATTTATTCTTTTTCGTCGCAAAGCCAAATACCAGTCATATTAGCAAAACAAGCTAGCAAAATTCTGTGGCAAAATACACGATTTATATTACAAAAACGTGTTTCCCACTGCATTCGTTTGAAGTCAGCAGTTACCAGTTTCTTCAGATGTTTATGCGTCTTAAATCTACTATTTCTGCAAGAACCCCTAATATTGCCGTAAGATCAATAGCAAATATAGGCAATTTTTGTGCTTGCAACTACCAGAAAGCCTAAATTAAATAAAGGTGCGGCACGCGGCTTCACCCAGTTACTTGTATTTGGCCCGCCAATAAAAAAGGTTGCACACCCCTGCTCTAAGAGACCATGTTGCCCCTTTCACTTGGTTCATTTTTATAATATGGCACTTTCACTGAAAACAAGACTGGTACGCAGGCATCTACTGCTTTTTTAGATTGGTATGTGTTCTGGTCTATATCTCCATATATAATTATCGTTTAGTTAGGGAGGAACACAAAGCCTAGCAGCTTTTTTTATAGTTTTTTAGTTCGACGCTCCCTCCTCATCTAGATCCATATTACTCTAGCGGCAAGTATTTTCAGCTTATTCACACAGTTTAAATATTGAGATTGGTGCGATAGTTGCAGCTGATTCCGCCACTTGAAGACGTTTTGCTTCATTGCTTTTTTATTCTGTGAAGAATCCGCAAGTGTTTTCAATCGCGCATGTGATTTTGTCTCGAAGTTTGTCATAGTTTTCGTAATTCGGGATGTCAATGCGGTTGAAACTGTAAAATAATAAATGATTTAGCTGATTGAAGATTATTAAATGATTTTAAAATCCTCTTAATTCCAATAAAATGATACCTAATTATGCTAAAAAACTCATTTAATGAATGGAAGTGTTAAATACTCCATGTGAGACCAAATCAAAAAGTTCTAAATTTTATGATTAATTAATATAGTTGGAACTGTAATATAATAAATGATTTACTCAAAACCGTAAAATAATAAATGATTATTGAGACTGAAAAGGAGCTACTCAAATTTGATTCACGACTCTATGGGTATCGGTGGCTACTTGGCCAGAGGCGTATCTAGGACGTGGCAACCGTGGCTTGTGCCATGGGCACAGTTTGAATGAATGCGCAAAAAGGAGAAAAGTTTCATCGTGAAATGTTTCAATAATATAATTTCAAATTGGGATTCATTTTTTACTCATATAATAACGTACAAGTATCTAATTTCAATAGCAGTCGTTAAAAATTGTCAGTCAAGCAAATTTTAAACAGGCCGCAATTTTACTTAGATATGTCACTGTGCTTGTTTCAAGCCTTGTTTGAATTAAAAGTCTGTAAACATTGCATGAAAGTCTGTAAACCATTCATAAATCGAATAAAAAAAAATTTTAAACCAATATTACCATGTATGAGCTTTAGGAAGGCAGTCAGTTTTACAGTCGACGAATTGGATTGTGAACAACCTTGGACCTTGGGTTCCTGTTGATCCTTGTAACCCTTTGAATCCCTGCAGAGGAACTCGAGCAGAACCAGTGACAAATTGGAGCAGCCTGGAAAATGGGTTAGTCGTAGCATTTAGAAGTGTTGGAAAATATAGATATGGACTTGAAGGTCAAATTTTATAAAAAGTGTTCCCATACAAAAGTATCATCTATTGGAACAACAAGTTAGCACTGATCAAATATATACCATGAAGAAAAAATTTCATATGAATTTCCCTATCATGAGAAAATGACAAATATTGGCTACCCCAAAGCCAACAAAATTTGAGACAAATTTAATAAAAAATTGTGTCCCTGGATTGAACAAAAACGGCAAAATTTGACTCCAAGCTCATGTATATGCAACAAATATCCTCGCATCTGAGCCGAGTTTAAAACTTAAAAAGGGTCAGCTTATACACGCTAAGTTCTCATGAGAAGGGCATCTCATCTCGAAGCAGCACTTGGTGCGCTATGACAGCGATAACAGTCTGTGATTGGTTGTCATTCACGCTATATACAGTAACTATTGCCATACCCAACATGGACCAATAGCCAGACAAGAGTCACCATATGATTACTGTTAAGTCCTCTCATCCGCTTTCCTTGGATAACACAAATCTCATCCATACACACTTACCTAGCACGTTTCTCTTCATCATAAGATTCCACCGTTCTCCAGAACCATTTAACAATATTTGAGTCCTGGTTACAATGCTTATATTTTGTATATTTTTTCCAATCCTTGATGTCAATCTTTCCGAGACCGCTGATGATCAGTTCAAGTTCTCGTTCGTCGAATGGACGCAGGAGATGTTGCGGGACAATCTCATAGAAACCCTATAATTATAAAATATTCCGTTAAATTTCGAAAGAATTCGCTCAAAGCATGTTCATGTGTGCTCATTCATATGTGAAGATAATCAATTACAACGCTCACATCTCTTCAGCAAAGTTATGAGCTCACTCAAAAGTAAAAATGACTCATTTTTGAGAAACGTCATGCGTACATTTAGAAGTGAAAGAGATTTATCTTCAAGCAAAGTTATGCACTTACTCAGAAGTAAAAGAAACCCATCTCTGAACAAAGGTAGGGACACTAGTTTAGAAATTGAAAGTTATGTGTAACCTCTGAATTGTAAGGAGCTACTGAAACCACATAGAATTATTGTGGTGTGTTAAATAGTTCAAGCCAATTCAATACTTTCAGGTAAACAACTAGAATTTAACTTTGCTAAATCATTTTACGGACAGTGCCTAAACATAATCGTGTTTCAGCATCTTTATCACTATTTCTTATTTCATATCTCTCTACTTCTCCTTACGAACCTCAGATTGAAAAAAACTAAAGAATAAGAAAAACACAAACCTTAGAAAGTGACAGATATTGGGCTTCAATTCCTCTCAAAAATCTCCATTTAACATAAAGTCGGACGTATTCTTTCTTATTATCTTCTGAGACTTCGATTTCCGAACCCCCAGGTTTTAATTCATGCTCGACTCGCTTCCCAAATGAGTCTTGTTCTACGCAAAAAGTGTGATCGAGAACATCGGTTATATCGTTCGTCAATATCCAATGCATTGAAGTATACAATTCTGGGTCAACCTGGGATAAATGGGAAAAAGAATTGAACTAGAAATAGAGGGAGAATCAATACGACGATTTCAATTTCTTTTATACAGTCACTCAGTCAGTTCTCAATATATCTCAGTTCCGGACCAGGTTTGCTTTATTTTAAAACAGTGTTTACTTCATTTAATACACCTTTAGGAATCAAGGTGATCGCCAGAAAATCAGAAGTCTTATGACATCACGAATAAAACGAGTGCTTACTCGTTTCTTTTCGAATACATTTTTATTTCTTTTAGGTTTTATGTTGTTTTTGGTTATACTGTACTACATTAATAAGACATTGATCTGAAGTGCATGGACAAAATTTTGAGCATCTATGAGTGTGACTGTAATATAACGAATACCACACTATGGTCATGAAGAATGATCATTCTTTTGTAACTTCAGGACTTACCGTAGATGTATATCAAGGCAGGGAAAAATCGAGTCAGATTTACTAAATTCTAAAAAACTAACCTGCTGCATGTCCTCCAAAGATAGGGGTTTCCCAAGCAATTGTTTATAAAAAGGCATCGTGAATCCCCCATCGAGGTAATGGCCATGAAAAACTGCCATCCCGAGAATTCGTCCGACAAAATGAAAATACGACAAATGTTCCGGATTTATAGAAGAATCAGGATTGATTTGAAGAGTGTAGATGTCTTCTCGTGAATACTAGAAAATAAATTAATTTAAGTGAGGGGTTTTACACGTTTGCTCAAAAAATAGGGAGGTAGGTGATTCCTTGTTATTGGGAAGAATGTATCAGGCCATCTTTTCAAAAACTCAATGATGGCAAACTTTTCATTTTAGGACAAATTCTTGGAAATACATATTAAGAAAAAAAAGATTGTTTTATTTTATATTAGTCATTAAGTTTATGCCCATAAAAGTACTACATGCCAATTTTACTGAATTCATTTTTTAAAAAAATTTGGGTTCCTTGAAAAAAGGTTGGAAGTAACTGCACATCCTACACATCCTGCCTTTCTTACCTGAAATAATCCATAATAAGGGTTCAACATCTCATGGGAGAGAAGATAAAGCCATTCCCTCGCGATTCCACCGTAATCCAAACCCTCTTCACCTTTGAACTTTACCATCAGTCGTTTTTTGAGCTCCTTTGGTCGCATTTTCATTACTTGTCTAAAAATGGAAAAAATTCAAAATCTTGTGAACGAGGTGTCAGGGAAATATTTTATTTATGTTTAGAAAATTTCGCTAGAGTTTGTAATTGTGATTCTTTTTATAACATACACAAAAATCTAAAATCTGCTGCTGTGCTCTATCATACTCATAAAAAAATGATGTACCGGTAAGTTGGTTGAAGTCCAGGTCATTATATTTCGATCATTTTTTGTCGGTGGGCCGTAAAACCAACTTCAGACATCTAGCTGAGCCACACAAAAAATTTAGCGGGAAAGCAAAAGGAGAGAAGCTCAAATTACTGACAATATTAACCCTCTTCTTACCTATATGAATCTTCAAAAACTTCAGTTCTTGAAACTTCCATTCTGCAGTGGCCAGTTTGAGGTTGTTGGGTTAATAATTCACTTCTTAATACTTTCATTTTTTGCACGAGATCTCGTTTATACTTTGGCAGTTGAGGGTCGTTCTCCATGTCCTCTGTGGCGTTTCCTGAAAAGTTTTGAATGTTAATACTAGCGTTGTAGTGTTCATGATTCAATGAATAATGATTGCTTGAATGATTTTGTCCTGCGCTATATAAATGCACAAGAATAAAGAGGAGCAGAAGGACATTACCGATCCTTGCATGGCTGGTGTTGGTCCTAATGTATTTATTAGTTGATCAAGTCCATGGTTTCAAACCTTTTATGGCTTGTGGGCCCCTTCCAAAGGCTTTTGGCATTTGTTATTAACTGAATTGTAGCAGTAAAAGCCTCTTATTTTGCGTGGTAGTATCATGTATTGCTTTGGCGAAGCTTAGAAAGTTAAGGAACTTTGAACATAGAGGCAAGACACTACACATGTAATGTGTTGATGCGAGCGCAACATGAAATGTCTCACAAAATAATATGGCATTGAATTTGAAAAATTGCCATTGAAATATATATATATATATATAAAATGAAACAAAAATCTTACCATTGCCTCTCTTCTGTAGTTGATCAATGTACTGACTGATTCTCGGATCTGTGAACTGCGTAGTTCTACTGCTGTGATCGACATAATAGACTCTACCGGTAGACGTAGTCCGCATTTCCCACCCTGGGGGTAATTGCCCTAAATCATCCCCATTTATATGCGTTAATTGTCTGGGTATCCGTGGGTCGTGCCATGTAGATACCCCTGTCTGGGTGTGCAAGAAATACACTTGTCCCTGTTGCGTAGTCCTTTGTTCGTACCCCTCAGGTAAGGGCATGGCTATGACTCCATCCCGGTGTAAAGTATTCCGTGTCATATAGTCCCGACGACGGTCTGGTGTTCCGTCGCCATTTAGAGAGTTTATTGAGGTTTCTGTCATGGATGATCGATTTCCATTAGATGGCGGCATGCTTCGTCGTTGTAAATTCGAGCCTGACGACCGGTTCCCGTTGGTTACTATTGCACTTGCCGATCTCATCGGACCGTGTGGAACTGCAGGTCGGGTCGGCCGTTCGAATTGAATTGTTCTAAAATAATGAGAGGAATTTGAGAATCGTTTGCCTTAACGTAAAGTATTCCTTGAAAGTTTTATCACATATTTCAACTATGACAAGGAAATCTATGGTTATAAATTCTCATTTTTCATTTACCATATAAATAAAAGTAGCAGAAAAATAGTAGAGATAATGCACGATAAACACGAGCCAAACTTTAATATCTAATTTTAATTTATTCCGGAAATGAGAAAGTTGATAAGAGAATTTAAACATAACGTGAACCACGGCGTCTCATCTGATTATCAAACCATGTTATGTGTGGAACTAGTTGGCCAGTTTTTTTTTGCTTCAGATTCATAGACTTGAAGCAGACTTCTCCGATACCAAACCTAAACCATTCTCACACTGGAAAGTAGAAAACTAACTTTTTTTAAATTTTTGTAACCATATTTTAATGGTAACAGAAAAAGGTTTTAAAGAATCAAATAATTTGCGATTAAAATTCTCACTTTGTATAATGATTCACATATTGAATCCTCCCTGTTGCTGTCGGTCGAGCCTCCCAGCCATCAGGTAGATTATTAGCGCCATCTAATGGATTGTTATTGGTGAACATACTCGCATTAAGAACTGCATTTGATGGAATCCGATCCTCATGGTCTCTACTGACGATGCTAACAACAATTTGACCTTCAAAAAAAGAAAAAAATATAAAGCAGTGTCCTAAAATTGTAGATGGGAAAACCAAAATACTATATCTAAATAAATTTAAACCTTCAAAAAAAGGTTGTTGAAAAACAGGCGTTGCATGGATTTGCCTTTTTAGTTACGTGTAAACAAAAGGAAGACCACAAATTTTTAAATCTCTAAATAAACATGTCTGCTTTCATACCACCATGATTTTGAGTTTCACAAGCTTCTGGCATATAGAATAAGGATAGGATTTCCATATTCACGTTGGGGAGAGAAGAATTCCACATACCAAGTTTTTGCCAGTATTTAACATAAAAAGATCACAGAATACAACCATGCAACACTTCTATCTAATGAATGATGCCTCACCCTTACCCCTTATAGGCTCCTGGTTGTTTTCCTCCGTTTGACGTTTACACAAGTCGAGTCTTTGCGGGCCAGTATCTTTCAACCGACCAATCGCATTTGACATGATACGGATACATCCCAAGAATCCGCCTCCACCCTTCTTTTTATGAATTTTTCGCTGATTCCAAATTGAGATTTCAATACTGTCTGACTTGCTGACGTATCTAAACAGAAAATAAATAATTAAGATGAAAGAGTATCATCAAAGTTTTGAACAAAGTTGATGTCACTAAAAAATGATGTTTATCAATAATTTTGATACTTTCACCGAATACAAGGCCATGTATAAGCTGGTACTGGTACGTGAGCAGAAGTTCAGGTGAACAAAATACTATTTTATGATAAAAATTTGTCTCTTTGGAAAGGTTTCGGCACAAAATGGTTCCATTCAGGACTAAACTACCTAGAATAGAATGTGATTCCATAGAATTGAGTGACCCAATACAAAACAGAACCCAATGTTCCGAAGTTCAAAGGTCAACTTGTGACACAAGTTCACTACACGATGTTCGACTTGAAAATAATATGGCGGGTACCAGGTAATCTAAACAGAACGTGCGATTATGAGAAGGATCAGTGCTAAGGGTACTGATTAGAAACGGGAAACACTAAAAACATGACCACATTGCGTCTCCCCTGTTAATAATTGATGAACTAACCATGATTGCCCCAGAATGCAGCAGCGGGTTGTGAACATGGCTCCAAGTTTTTGTGGGAGTGATTTAGGAATAGATAGATTCTGATTATTACTTATCGATCTTAAGATCGGCAAGTATGTTGATAGGTATTTGTCTGTTTGTTTGTTTGTCTGTTAGATGCACGCGATATCTCACGAAAGCGAGATTGAATCTGCTCCAAATTTCGCATGTGCATTCATCATATCTCGGTTCAGTAGCCTAGTGATTTTCGATGAATTATGTCGTATAATTAGCGAGTTATTAATTAATTAGTGATGGAACACACGGTGTCACTATAGAGTGAGAGTGCTGTTTTGGGGAATCCCCTAACTTTCAATCGATAAGTCTTCGGTCTCTGACCGATATTCTCGTTTTACGTATTATGACATATTTATACATCCATTCCTCCTAAACCCTTTTAAATGCTTTTCATCTTCAGAAACTGGTCAATTCGAATCGACATGAAAAATCAAAATCTACTTACAGATCGTAATGTTCATTCCATTTTGGATCCAGTGTTGCTTTACATATATTAGAAGAATAACTTTGTCCTGATCCTTTCACTTCTATCTTTGCAAATGGATCTGGAAGTCCTAGAAAGAAAAATAATTACGAAATTAAGCCTTGTATTTTTCGCAGAAGTTTGTCAAAGTCTATCTTCTTTATTTAGTGCGAGTAATTATTGGAATTTCTATATTGAATCTCGAATAAAGACAGTACGAGAAACTAAAAGTTAGTTTTGAGCGCAGTATTGGAAAAAGTACAGTACTGATAATGATAGGAGTTTCAAGAGAAACACTGACATGCATAAAAAAAGGGGTTTTTATTATTCTAAAGAAGCAGTTGATGTGAAACTTAAGTAAAAAAAATACTTACTGCAGAAATCCCTTTTGCTGAGATTCTTTGCTCCGAATACTGTAACATAAGGATGACAATTGTTATTGTTATTAAAAAATCCACCATGGTGAGGGACGCGTTCTGGACTAAATCTAAATATATGCCTTTGATAAACTTGTCTAGGGTCTTTTTCTGAGTGAAGCATGGGACACCGCACAAAAATTGTGTAATTAGGTGACAAGACACAGGTCTTACACAAGAAGCATGTTAAAATGAGTCACAGGGTTATTTTTTAACTATCATGTTTCGACTACATCGGCAGACGACTAATCATCAGTGTCAGAGGTCGTAAATAACCAGTTTCAACCGGTTTTTACCGGAATTCAAGTAGATTTTCCGACAGATGGATTTTGTCACAAAAACCTGCCGCTCAAATTCCAGAATGTTTCAGCAAATTAATTGAGCGTTTAGTCTGGGAATGCCGTCGACTAGGCGGAACATCTGCCTGCGACTTTAATTTGAAATTGATATTATTTGAAAATATGCGTTTTAAACGCCAGATAATCATAATTTCTGTTGTATTTTGGGATAAATTTCATCGGCTGTGCAATTCTAATTTATGTCCTTGCCATAACTTAGTGTACGCACTTTGCCATTATGTGATTAGTTTGTTTTACTTGTCTCCGGGATAAATATGAAACAAGGCCATATCCCATTCATTCATATTATTCGCTGAAGTAAATTGAAATTAATGAGACAACGATGAATGTGCCACAAAGGTTATGAAATTCGGAAATATTACAAACACACACGATAAAATTTCATGAAAAAGGCTTTGCGGTTTTGTGTAATTTTACCTATCATTTGTAATGATTAGTTTGTCGTGAGGTAGTTTATTTTGAGTCTTAAACGTTGTTTTGTTTTTACTTTCGGCGAAATACCAATGAAATCCATTATTCAGGAATTCACAGTTCAAGACGCTTCAAAAATTTACAACTATTTGTGTCCAATACGAATAGTTATTCTCGAAGCGGGCTTCGCTGGTGGTTTCAATTTGAATCATTTGTATAAATCTATTTTGAAACTAACTATTCAAAATTCAGAACTGAATAACACTAACACGGGAGATGCGATTATTTTATATCCAAGGATTTTCGCAATAAGATTATTACACTTATCAAAATATCGCGGGGTTTACAGGGGCTGTACTTTCCGTGTAGGCGTATTTAGATAGGCGTAATCGTTCTGAATTGACGTAATTACGCATATAAATTTCACAATCGAATTACAGTCGTCGTCGCACTTAAGAACGGCGTCTGTGACGTAATAATATTTCTCGGAGATAATTGTGATGTTTAAATTGTAATTTTTTTACAATCTTCAAAAGTCATCAACAGAAGTATGGCTATGGCGTTGGTGCGTTAAATACCGATTAGCAGGCCAAATTTGATGAGAAATTATGTGTAGATAACGAGGTACAACTTTACATAGCGTAATTCTTCACCTAACTTGACTCGAAGCAAGATTCCGAGCTCTCATAGTAAGAGTGCGAGTATTGGTAACTCACAAACGGTACAATTACCTTTAAAAGTTTAATTCTAAGGAGGCAACGTGATTTAAGTGATTTTAGGAATAATTAGAATTGTTCGAGTTTCAGGTGCTGCTCGGTTCCATTGCAACTTTTGTTTTAAGTTTCATTAGAATTGAAAAACACTCGACAATGTAACATCATATACTGTAAACGCTTATTAGCGCGCGATTTTACCACAGCATGAAAGCATTTGATCAAATTGTAACAGGTGGTTGGAGTATCATTATGAACCCATAATTGAATTCGTCCTCGTCTTATGACAATTTTCCCAACAATTATTTCTGAAATTTAGACGAGTTTGCGGTAAGATATATAACAGAACAAAGAGCCATTGTTTAGTTTCGGTTGAGCGGACGGGATGTTTTGAAGAACTAACTAAAAACCGTGACTTTCCATTACAGTAAAACGGAAACGCAAAACGGGTTTTAGTAATCACTAAAATTTTAAACGAAAAAGAACATATATTGGACGGAAAACAAATAAATTGAATTAATACATTTTTCCAACATTTACTTCGCGACCCTATCTTTAGCTCTTCAATAATCACCGACATCCGCACAAACTGCGTCTCCCGCGCTGAAAGGCGGCGATTAAAGGAATTTATGGCTGTGACAACAAATATGTCTGACGAATTAGTCAATACAGACATAAGTCTAGTCACTCCCCTTGCCTTCAAATCATATCTGATAGGCAGCGTGATATTGAGTTATTATTGGAGTCAGATTGGTTCAAAACCGTCGAAATGCGAATGGATTGTTTATGGGAGAAAATTATAAAACGTGTTGTTGTCATCAAAAAGTCTTACTCTTATAGGAAAAATGGATAAAAATCGCTTTGTAAGGAAAACAGTCAGCGAATAAAAATGCGTACTATTCAATCCAGGTTATTAAAAAAGCGCCCAATTTTTAAAAATGTACCTATGAATAACCTTCAAAATTAAAAAGACGAACTTTGGCAGCCGTTTTTATGGGGTGTATAGACAACTTCGTTCTAAGCAAGGCTTGAAAAAAACAACTAATGATAGGCAAAGCGCTAATGGTTTTCGAAAAACCTTCCTGCCAAATTTTTCCCGTTGCACCCTGGTCGATTTGGTTGGTCTCGGAACCCGATATATAATACGCAACGCTAGCATAGTTTGATAGAACGGTCTAGCCAGAGAACGGGATACAAACCTGTTACACGAAACTTTCTCACTTTAAACATATCCACACCCATTGTTATAACATATCTTAGACAATTATAACGTCACAAAAGCTATGGTTGTCGTCAAATTGTGAGATCACAAACTAATTATTAGAATCTTCCTGACAAGTCGTCTGCTAAATTATTACAATCCAACTTGACGAGGAATTCGTCGATTTAACTAAAACTGTATAAGTAAAATAGAAACAAAAGAATGATGGAGTGAACATTAATATAATCACGTAACACATGTAGAGATTTTACGAACGTTTTTTTTGTATACGCCTCACTAGGAACAGGCTCCTTCACTTCACTAAACCATGCCGAACGCCAAGCTTCTGACGAAAAACCAAGGACGAATACTGATGAATTATCTTCTGACATCTGGCAGAAAAATAGCCAATCGTTAAGATTGGTTAAGAACTGTGCCACATATGAAGGCGGTGACTATATCCGCGATGTAACATATGAGATCACAATGTCGAATGCAACAAGCTAAGAATCTGTCTATTGGTATTGCTATTGAGTATTACATTAGAATCGCTTTAAATATAGTTTTCATTAGAAAAAGTTCCACAGGGATAAGAGTTCCCAAATTTTCGACACACTCATTTCTTCATTTTCCTCATAAAAAGATTGAATACTTGAGACACAGTGAAGCAATCTAACCTTAGCACTGACGTTATCACACTTCCCAGACAAATAAACAACTCTGCCTCAAAAGTAAAGTTCAGATAGAAATATGTAAATTGACAGTATGACGCTAATCACAGCCGCAAACACTTCGATTCACAAACAGTCAAGAAGTCAAACCGCAATCCATTTATCAAATCTAGTACGTATACAGAACTGGTGACAGACATTACAAAACCAATACTGCGACCGCAAGTAACTTAGTGCTTGGTGAACGTTTAGACTTGACATGGGCAAATTACGGCTCACGGGCCAAATCCGACACGATAGATCAGCGTTTCCCAAACTGTGTTCCGCGGAACAGTAGTGTTCCGCGAGCGTCTTCGAAGTGTTCCGTGGAAAAGAAATCAAAAATACGTCCAAAATGGTCGCCCAACTGACCGTTCGATGTAGCGTCAGTGGCTTTTTCGTTAACCGTCGGGTCTAGCTATTTGACTGTAAAGTTCATTATCAAGTTTACAGCAATCCTTTTGGTTTTGCTATTATTAAACAAGTAGGTCTAAAGAATAGATGTTCAGATAGTAAACTCTTCTACCTCCATCTCTGCCTGGTTTTACTTTGGAATGCTGAAAAATTTACGCGTATTTGGCAACTCCCACGAGAACCCATTGGGAACTGCAAAATGACACCCTTTTTCTTTATCAATTTTACCCTTTCATTTTTTAATGTTTCGCGAGGCGAGATAAAAAGTGTAAGTGTTCCGTGGCCGAAAAAGTTTGGGAAACGCTGCGTTAGATGATTCAATCTGGCCCAAACCAAACTAAACCCAAATTTCAATGTATTAGCTAAGAAATAGTTCAAGGCATTTGTTGAGCTTGCGATTAAATTTAGTTTTGGCGCTAGGCTTACTATTTTCCACATTTGCTTTTGTGACACTGTAAATATTCTTCATAAAATGTAACTTTTACGTCACACCGAGGTATGTCACATAAGTTCGTCGTATCAGTTTTTCCTCTCCCCGCGAAAAATACGGAAAATCCAATATTTTATACTATCATGAGTCCATGACCCCCTATAGTTCATATTCACAAGGTTCTAATTGCAAGCACAACCAACAACATTCATTCTCCTGTTTGTCACCACATCTCCGCAACATGGTCGCAGGGGAACGTTATTTACAATTTATGAACTGTTATTTGTGGACTGAGGGCCTGAAACAAACTGAGCGTAGGTGAAACCGTCCTTATTGAATCATGCCAGACCGGGCACAGTAAACAAGTAGGAAACTGGGAAAGGTATTTACAGGCGACTGACTGACCATTATGTGCAAACTAATTACTTAAGCTTTGATATAAATCCGCAAAATTTATTTGTTTTGTGTTGTTAAACAAACGGAAACACCACTGTGTCGAGTAAGTAATGCCATCACGATATGTTTCCGTGGCTAAATTCTTTTTCATCGTAATCATGGAAACAACGTTTTCTTAAAAAAGTGGAGATTTTTCATAGCCCATCGGTACCCGCTATAGACACACAGACAATAGCTTCATCGCTCAACATCGTTATTTTTATTATTATTATATATTTTAGCACAATAGATAACAAATGCAATTGCACTTGAAAAGCAGTTCAGACCCTCTACTTTTTCAAAAAACGGACGTTTTTCATTTTCGCGTTAATTACTTTTCACATTGGACGACATTTATTAATAATAAAAATTGAGTCCAATAACCACCTAAGCATGGAGACATACTATTTCCAATAACGCCAAAATTCCTGTTTAATTTGTTTTCAGATCAGTTCGACAGGAAACCACATTGCATCAGCCGTTGTCATCGACTTTAATCGGTCCCTATCTAATCAACAAATAGAGAATTATTTGTCAACGTTTTTAAAATCTAACGGTACGTGTGAAGCATTTTTCGCCGCTAGTGCAATATTTCAGATAGCTTCTTTGTGTGCACACCGTAGCTTATAATTTCCGCATATATCGCTATGTATTGCAAATTTGAGTTACAAAAGGACTCGTACGCAACTTATTAAGCAGTCTCTAAAAAACTGCCAGAAGATATATTACCCCAATGTTTATTACCTATTAATTTTACACGTCGTGACGAAATAAAATTAACTATCTTTCCTTGGCGCTATTTATAGACATGGCACCTATATTCAGTGAATCTTATATACGGAGCGGGATATTTCCCCATGGTATTACTCTCCAACTTATTCAAATTTAAGGAATTTCTACGTATAGATTTAAACTATAGGTGAATGCAACTATTTTTTCAAAATAAAAGTGCACAACGGTGATAATTTAGCTATTATGAAAAGGTTTAGGTAAACAGAATTTTCGGAACGGCCTGATTTCACAAATGAGTAAATTCAACGTTACAATTGAAGGGAGTACAAGTTCAGCAACAGGTCATATTTCTATGGCTCGAAGGATTAGGATTATTTCAAGCTTGTTTATTACTCGTAACTCTATCTTCACTGGTACAAAAAAATTACAGTTTCACTGCCCATATGCGCAAACGTACGACGTATTTGCGAGCGTTTTCGATTCGTATTTCCGAAATTAAATCATGAAGATCTATAATGGCAATAGAACCATCTAAAGTGATTTGACAGATTATTGATTCCAAGCCAGAGGTCACGGGTCAGAATGAAACCCACAAAAATGTTAAAAACATATGGCCTGCAATACTAAATATATAAGTGGCTAAAGCAATAACCTTTTTGATAAATGCCTCCCCTTTCCCTTTCCTATAACTTATTCAGAAACTATCTGATTTCATTCGAAAGTAACTAACTACTGATTCAGATATAGGCGTGTTAATTGCCGAGTAGTCATCTACTTACAAGAGTATCACAAGTAACTTTTGATTTCGAATATTTCAAAATAGAAATTTATTTTTTCAAAAATCATATCATTATATAACTATATTTCCTTCGACTGACATTACTATAGATTTTTTTTAACAGAATTTATTAACTCTCCTATTTGGACTGCTTGTAGAGAACTCGGTATAATTAATCAAAAATTATAATAGACAACATTTCGCCTATTATCGACGACCTGTTTTTTGCATTTAAGTGGTGTAAACTGTCTTTCTATATATTCACATTCATTTTAACATTGTCAACTGTTGGGCTTTCACGCAAGTCTGCAAAACCTTAATCTTTTGCCAATAGCATCGTGTCATATAATTGAATCTAAACATAAATGTTTCAATTCTGAATATACCTAACATGTCGTGATTTGGCACGCACAGATAATTAATCATCTTCAAAAAATTCCACCACGAAAGCGAATGAACTGGTGTTTTCCTCTTTCGTAAGCTTCTATATAAACGCCTTCTAAACGCAAAAACAGCGTGATATCACAGATTACTGGCGGATAACAAGACTGCTTACGGATAATCCGCTTCCTGCTGGGGGTCGGGAACTTGCAGACGAACGTTCATTGTGACGCGATAAGGAAAATACATACGCAGACAACGGCATATTTTACGTAAGAATAGGAATTATGGTTGCAGACGACAGCGGGAGATTCGATGTCTGTGACGTCACATTCAAATGAGATTTAACGTGTTTTATCACCATATACAAAACAAAAATTAGTCTGCAGCAAATTGTTCTACAAAAATCGAAATTCACAGCGCCTGCATTTAATCGTCTGCTTCGACAACGCGTTAATATGTAATCCAATATCCCCTCAAAACAAACATGTCCAAAACGTCCTGAAAAAATATTATCTAGGGGTTGTAGATATTTTCATACTATATCATTATCTTTTCCTTAATAAGTAAATAAAGATCAAGGGAAGTAACCAAGCTTTTGGCCACGTTCTAACAATTAAAAATCTCCAAATAATTTAGCATTGCGAACGTAAATCCTAAATATAGCAAGGTGGTACCCGTACGCCAGTTAATCTATCAAAACAAATCGATAATTTAAATAAACTAAACTGCTGGCAATAATCATGAAATGTCACAACTCATGCAAATCTGATTCGTCTGGCAAATCAACCCTTTAGAATCATTCGGATACTAACTCGTATCGACAGCTATCAACGGAAGACTTGGTATGAGCCATATTTCTTTTGCGCTGAGAAATAAAATCTACCGCTATCGTCTGCAACCATAATTCGTATTCTTACATCACAGTGCGTATTCATCTGCGAAGTTATTTTCCTTATCGCGTCATAATTAACGTTCGTCTGCATATTTCTTTGCGCTATCTATGGAAGTAAAATCTTTCATCTATATTTAGTAAATCAGTATATACGGAGCGATATATTTCTCTAATTAGTTGACCTTAACATATAATTATTTTTGTCACTCCCCGTGTTCAAACTAAACAACAGTGGTGTGAACTGCTTTTACTCTTCACCCATGATAGTTGTTTTTTACATAAAAGTTCATTATCTATTTACTTAACACACGGTAAATAAATTAATGATATTACTGTACGTACTACTTCTTTTTGGAACTCTTTTCAGAAGTAAAGTATTTCACCTATGTTCAGTAAATCATCATTTTCGGAGAGGGATAATTCCCAATCATGCAACAC